GTTGAAATAACAGATTATGGTAAGCATTCGTTTGAGTTCTACTACTATGTTGAGAATGAGGACGCATTCTATTATTATACAGGTCTTAACTATCGAAAACTTCATATAAACTTTACAAAAACAGGTGATGCTTATGTTTGTATGATAGATACAGAAAACAAGAGAGTAATTTTATGCATAAACAAATTCAAACGCTTGTACGGCTTCATGTAGGACAAACATTATTTTTCAACACTAACGCCAACACTTAGGACAAACATTCATGACTAACATTACTGTATAACATAAATGTTTTGTCATGACCTCATCGTATATGTTTTGTCATGATTTCATCGTTAATGTTTTGTCATGAATTCATCGTAAATGTTTTGTCATGATTTCATCGTTAATGTTTTGTCATGATTTCATCGTACATGTTTTGTCATGATTTCATCGTAAATGTTTTGTCATGACCTCATCGTAAATGTTTTGTCATGATTTCATCGTAAATGTTTTGTCATGATTTCTTCATCGTATATGCTTTGTCATGATTTCATCGTATATGTTTTGTCATGACCTCATCGTAAATGTTTTGTCATGATTTCATCGTTAATGTTTTGTCATGAATTCATCGTAAATGTTTTGTCATGATTTCATCGTAAATGTTTTGTCAAAACTTCATCGTATATGCTTTGTCAAGGTTTCTTCGTAAATGTTTTGTCATGACCTCATCGTAAATGTTTTGTCATGATTTCATCGTAAATGTTTTGTCAAAACTTCATCGTACATGTTTTGTCATGATTTCATCGTATATGTTTTGTCATGATTTCATCGTTAATGTTTTGTCATGATTTCATCGTAAATGTTTTGTCATGATTTCATCGTAAATGTTTTGTCATGATTTCATCGTAAATGTTTTGTCATGATTTCATCGTAAATGTTTTGTCATGATTTCATCGTTAATGTTTTGTCAAAACTTCTTCGTAATGAGTGTAAATGATCCAAAAATAATGTTTATGTTAGAATGTTAGATCTAACACCTTTTCTAACATGTTTTCTAACATGACCTCATCGTAAATGTTTTGTTATGACCTCATGGAACTTAAACGTATATGTTTTGTCATGACCTCATGGAACTTAAACGTAAATGTTTTGTTATGACCTCATGGAACTTAAACGTATATGTTTTGTCATGACCTCATCGTAAATGTTTTGTCATGACCTCATCGTAAATGTTTTGTCATGATTTCTTCATCGTATATGCTTTGTCATGACCTCATGGAACTTAAACGTAAATGTTTTGTCATGATTTCTTCATCGTATATGCTTTGTCAAGGTTTCTTCGTATATGTTTTGTCATGACCTCATCGTAAATGTTTTGTCATGACCTCATCGTAAATGTTTTGTTATGACCTCATGGAACTTAAACGTAAATGTTTTGTTATGACCTCATCGTAATGAGTGTAAATGACCCAAAAATAATGTTTATGTTAGAATGTTAGATCTAACACCTTTTCTAACATGCTTTCTAACATGACCTCATGGAACTTAAACGTAAATGTTTTGTCATGACCTCATGGAACTTAAACGTATATGCTTTGTCAAGGTTTCTTCGTATATGTTTTGTCATGACCTCATCGTAAATGTTTTGTTATGACCTCATGGAACTTAAACGTAAATGTTTTGTTATGACCTCATGGAACTTAAACGTAAATGTTTTGTCATGACCTCATCGTAAATGTTTTGTTATGACCTCATCGTATATGTTTTGTCATGACCTCATCGTAAATGTTTTGTCATGACCTCATCGTAAATGTTTTGTGAAGAATATAACAACCGCCGGAATTCAGACGGTTGCTTTTTATACAAAATTCACGCAGGAAAATTCTTGAGTTTTGGTTGAAAGAATACGGTCGAGCCAAAAGTGGCTCAACCTCAAAACAAACATTTTGTGATCTTACTAAGGCGTTATGAATGAATTCAAAGGTATTTACAAACATCCTGACCTCGTTCATTTTGTTGCTGAATGGTGCTCTGTAAAGTATGCATTTTATGTCAAAGATATTATGGACTCCATAGACAAGAAAGTTCATGAGAAGTTAGATGAAGAAGAACTCGAAGATACAGTAGAGAATGCAAAACATTTTTGACGAAGTGAAGATCTTCACTTCGTCAAAATGTGATGCAAAAACAAGCATTTTATGAGCTTACTAAGGCGTTATGAATGAATTCAAAGGTATTTACATACATCCTGACCTCGTTCATTTTGTTGCTGAATTCAGCAAAAATAATGTTTACGTTAATGTTTTCACTGTTACCATGTTACCATGTGCTACCAGGTTAATTAACTTCTCTTAAAATTACTGACAACATGACATTTTGACAACAGTCCAGGAAATAAACTTCATCGTATATGCTTTGTCATGACTTCTTCGTATATGTTTTGTCATGACCTCATCGTATATGCTTTGTCATGACTTCTTCATCGTAATGAACGTAAATGTTTTGTCATGACTTCATCGTATATGCTTTGTCAAGGTTTCATCGTAAATGTTTTGTCATGACTTCATCGTATATGCTTTGTCAAGGTTTCATCGTATATGCTTTGTCATGACTTCTTCATCATAATGAGCGTAAATGACCCAAAATAATGTTTATGTTAGAATGTTAGATCTAACACGTTTTCTAACCCGATAACTAACCTGTTGAATTTTCATACGGAATCTCTTCTCTCGGTTTTCCGAGGGAGGCAATCATATGAGGAAATTCTTCTAAAAGTTCTTTTGTCTGTTGGTTTTCAAACCAATGATATGCTTGCTTTGTAGAACGAAGAGTATTATAAGGCATTTTGTGAAGAATATAGCAACCGCCGGAATTCAGACGGTTGCTTTTTATACAAAATTCACGCAGGAAAATTCTTGAGTTTTGGTTGAAAGAATACGGTCGAGCCAAAAGTGGCTCAACCTCAAAACAAACATTTTGTGATCTTACTAAGGCGTTATGAATGAATTCAAAGGTATTTACATACATCCTGATCTCGTTCATTTTGTTGTTGAATTCAGCAAAAATAATGTTTAGGGTAGATGGTTTTTAGGTGTCACTACGTCACCATGTCACCAGGTTAATTAACTTCTCTTAAAATTACTGACAACATGACATTTTGACAACAGTCCAGGAAATAAACTTCATCGTATATGTTTTGTCATGACTTCATCGTATATGCTTTGTCATGACTTCTTCGTAATGAGTGTAAATGACCCAAAAATAATGTTTACGTTAATGTTTTCAGGTTATTCAATAATTAATTATTTTTGAAGAACTGAAGGTGCTACCATGTTACCATGTGCTACCAGGTTAATTAACTTCTCTGAAAAAGTGTGACAACATGACATTTAGACAACACAGCAGGATTAATGAGGAAGGTATTTATGAATTATTTTTGAAGAACTGAAGGTGCTACCATGTTACCATGTGCTACCAGGTTAATTAACTTCTCTGAAAAAATGAGACAACATGACATTTAGACAACACAGCAGGAAATAAACTTCTTCGTATATGCTTTGTCAAACATAAACGTATATGTTTTGTCAAACATGAACGTAAATGTTTTATCATGACTTCATCGTATATGTTTTGTCAAACATGAACGTAAATGTTTTGTCAAGACTTCTTCGTAAATGTTTTGTCATGATTTCTTCGTAAATGTTTTGTCATGACTTCATCGTATATGTTTTATCATGATTTCATCGTATATGTTTTATCATGATTTCATCGAAACTAAACGTATATGCTTTGTCATGACTTCATCGTAAATGTTTTGTCAAACATGAACGTAAATGTTTTGTCATGACTTCATCGTATATGTTTTATCATGATTTCATCGTATATGTTTTGTCATGATTTCATCGAAACTAAACGTATATGCTTTGTCAAACTTCTTCGTATATGCTTTGTCAAACTTCTTCGTATATGCTTTGTCAAACATGAACGTAAATGTTTTGTCATGACTTCATCGTATATGTTTTGTCATGATTTCATCGTAATGAGTGTAAATGACCCAAAAATAATGTTTATGTTAGAATGTTAGATCTAACACCTTTTCTAACATGTTTTCTAACATAGAGGATTTCATTAGATATACACATTCTTCCTTCATTTCATTCTATACACAATTTACATCATAGACGATTTAATAGATATAATACTTTACTGTTTCATCTGATATAAACATTATTTTTGGGTCATTTACACTCATTACGATGAAATCATGACAAAACATATACGATGAAGTCATGATAAAACATTTACGTTCATGTTTGACAAAGCATATACGAAGAAGTTTGACAAAGCATATACGAAGAAGTTTGACAAAGCATATACGTTTAGTTTCGATGAAATCATGACAAAACATATACGATGAAGAAATCATGACAAAACATATACGATGAAATCATGATAAAACATTTACGTTCATGTTTGACAAAACATATACGTTTATGTTTGACAAAGCATATACGAAGAAGTTTATTTCCTGCTGTGTTGTCTAAATGTCATGTTGTCTCATTTTTTCAGAGAAGTTAATTAACCTGGTAGCACATGGTAACATGGTAGCACCTTCAGTTCTTCAAAAATAATTCATAAATACCTTCCTCATTAATCCTGCTGTGTTGTCTAAATGTCATGTTGTCACACTTTTTCAGAGAAGTTAATTAACCTGGTAGCACATGGTAACATGGTAGCACCTTCAGTTCTTCAAAAATAATTAATTATTGAATAACCTGAAAACATTAACGTAAACATTATTTTGGGTCATTTACACTCATTACGAAGAAGTCATGACAAAGCATATACGATGAAGTCATGACAAAACATATACGATGAAGTTTATTTCCTGGACTGTTGTCAAAATGTCATGTTGTCAGTAATTTTAAGAGAAGTTAATTAACCTGGTGACATGGTGACGTAGTGACACCTAAAAACCATCTACCCTAAACATTATTTTTGCTGAATTCAACAACAAAATGAACGAGGTCAGGATGTTTGTAAATACCTTTGAATTCATTCATAACGCCTTAGTAAGATCACAAAATGTTTGTTTTGAGGTTGAGCCACTTTTGGCTCGACCGTATTCTTTCAACCAAAACTCAAGAATTTTCCTGCGTGAATTTTGTATAAAAAGCAACCGTCTGAATTCCGGCGGTTGCTATATTCTTCACAAAATGCCTTATAATACTCTTCGTTCTACAAAGCAAGCATATCATTGGTTTGAAAACCAACAGACAAAAGAACTTTTAGAAGAATTTCCTCATATGATTGCCTCCCTCGGAAAACCGAGAGAAGAGATTCCGTATGAAAATTCAACAGGTTAGTTATCGGGTTAGAAAACGTGTTAGATCTAACATTCTAACATAAACATTATTTTGGGTCATTTACGCTCATTATGATGAAGAAGTCATGACAAAGCATATACGATGAAACCTTGACAAAGCATATACGATGAAGTCATGACAAAACATTTACGATGAAACCTTGACAAAGCATATACGATGAAGTCATGACAAAACATTTACGTTCATTACGATGAAGAAGTCATGACAAAGCATATACGATGAGGTCATGACAAAACATTTACGTTCATTACGATGAAGAAGTCATGACAAAGCATATACGATGAGGTCATGACAAAACATATACGAAGAAGTCATGACAAAGCATATACGATGAAGTTTATTTCCTGGACTGTTGTCAAAATGTCATGTTGTCAGTAATTTTAAGAGAAGTTAATTAACCTGGTAGCACATGGTAACATGGTAACAGTGAAAACATTAACGTAAACATTATTTTTGCTGAATTCAGCAACAAAATGAACGAGGTCAGGATGTATGTAAATACCTTTGAATTCATTCATAACGCCTTAGTAAGCTCATAAAATGCTTGTTTTTGCATCACATTTTGACGAAGTGAAGATCTTCACTTCGTCAAAAATGTTTTGCATTCTCTACTGTATCTTCGAGTTCTTCTTCATCTAACTTCTCATGAACTTTCTTGTCTATGGAGTCCATAATATCTTTGACATAAAATGCATACTTTACAGAGCACCATTCAGCAACAAAATGAACGAGGTCAGGATGTTTGTAAATACCTTTGAATTCATTCATAACGTCTTAGTAAGATCACAAAATGTTTGTTTTGAGGTTGAGCCACTTTTGGCTCGACCGTATTCTTTCAACCAAAACTCAAGAATTTTCCTGCGTGAATTTTGTATAAAAAGCAACCGTCTGAATTCCGGCGGTTGTTATATTCTTCACAAAACATTTACGATGAGGTCATGACAAAACATTTACGATGAGGTCATGACAAAACATATACGATGAGGTCATAACAAAACATTTACGATGAGGTCATGACAAAACATTTACGTTTAAGTTCCATGAGGTCATAACAAAACATTTACGTTTAAGTTCCATGAGGTCATAACAAAACATTTACGATGAGGTCATGACAAAACATATACGAAGAAACCTTGACAAAGCATATACGTTTAAGTTCCATGAGGTCATGACAAAACATTTACGTTTAAGTTCCATGAGGTCATGTTAGAAAGCATGTTAGAAAAGGTGTTAGATCTAACATTCTAACATAAACATTATTTTTGGGTCATTTACACTCATTACGATGAGGTCATAACAAAACATTTACGTTTAAGTTCCATGAGGTCATAACAAAACATTTACGATGAGGTCATGACAAAACATTTACGATGAGGTCATGACAAAACATATACGAAGAAACCTTGACAAAGCATATACGATGAAGAAATCATGACAAAACATTTACGATGAGGTCATGACAAAACATTTACGATGAGGTCATGACAAAACATATACGTTTAAGTTCCATGAGGTCATAACAAAACATTTACGTTTAAGTTCCATGAGGTCATGACAAAACATATACGATGAGGTCATGACAAAACATATACGATGAGGTCATAACAAAACATTTACGATGAGGTCATGACAAAACATTTACGTTTAAGTTCCATGAGGTCATAACAAAACATTTACGTTTAAGTTCCATGAGGTCATAACAAAACATTTACGATGAGGTCATGACAAAACATATACGAAGAAACCTTGACAAAGCATATACGTTTAAGTTCCATGAGGTCATGACAAAACATTTACGTTTAAGTTCCATGAGGTCATGTTAGAAAGCATGTTAGAAAAGGTGTTAGATCTAACATTCTAACATAAACATTATTTTTGGGTCATTTACACTCATTACGATGAGGTCATAACAAAACATTTACGTTTAAGTTCCATGAGGTCATAACAAAACATTTACGATGAGGTCATGACAAAACATTTACGATGAGGTCATGACAAAACATATACGAAGAAACCTTGACAAAGCATATACGATGAAGAAATCATGACAAAACATTTACGTTTAAGTTCCATGAGGTCATGACAAAGCATATACGATGAAGAAATCATGACAAAACATTTACGATGAGGTCATGACAAAACATTTACGATGAGGTCATGACAAAACATATACGTTTAAGTTCCATGAGGTCATAACAAAACATTTACGTTTAAGTTCCATGAGGTCATGACAAAACATATACGTTTAAGTTCCATGAGGTCATAACAAAACATTTACGATGAGGTCATGTTAGAAAACATGTTAGAAAAGGTGTTAGATCTAACATTCTAACATAAACATTATTTTTGGATCATTTACACTCATTACGAAGAAGTTTTGACAAAACATTAACGATGAAATCATGACAAAACATTTACGATGAAATCATGACAAAACATTAACGATGAAATCATGACAAAACATTTACGATGAAATCATGACAAAACATTTACGATGAAATCATGACAAAACATTAACGATGAAATCATGACAAAACATATACGATGAAATCATGACAAAACATGTACGATGAAGTTTTGACAAAACATTTACGATGAAATCATGACAAAACATTTACGATGAGGTCATGACAAAACATTTACGAAGAAACCTTGACAAAGCATATACGATGAAGTTTTGACAAAACATTTACGATGAAATCATGACAAAACATTTACGATGAAATCATGACAAAACATTAACGATGAAATCATGACAAAACATATACGATGAGGTCATGACAAAACATTTATGTTATACAGTAATGTTAGTCATGAATGTTTGTCCTAAGTGTTGGCGTTAGTGTTGAAAAATAATGTTTGTCCTACATGAAGCCGTACAAGCGTTTGAATTTGTTTATGCATAAAATTACTCTCTTGTTTTCTGTATCTATCATACAAACATAAGCATCACCTGTTTTTGTAAAGTTTATATGAAGTTTTCGATAGTTAAGACCTGTATAATAATAGAATGCGTCCTCATTCTCAACATAGTAGTAGAACTCAAACGAATGCTTACCATAATCTGTTATTTCAACAGCTTCGTCAGATATTTCATCAACGAACTCATAAACTATATCGCCATACTTGCTTTTATTTCTATTGTTTTCAGATCTAGAACACCAACGAAGGTTTGAGATTCTGTTGTCCGTTCTATCATGATTTATATGGTCTATTTCTTTCAAATTGTTTGGATTTTCAATCCACTGTTCTGCAATAATTCTATGCTTTAAATGCGTTTTGTTGTTTAAACTAAGCTCAATATAACCATGATTATTTAAGCATTCACTCTTAATATGTTTTTTTTCTTTCGACGAATAGTAAAAGGATATGTCGTACAAATCTCATAATCTTCATGATTTCTCAATGTTTCCCATTGAGTTTGTTCCCCACTAACGTTCTCATTGACGTCCTCAATATCTTCTTCCTCACTGAACTCGTCAATATTTTCACTAGCTCCTTCTGTAATGTTTTCATCGGCATTGTCATTGACTTCTTCTGTAATGTTAGATGTTGTTGTTTCGCTCATGTTCTTTCACTAATGTTAAAAGTTATGTTGTACGAATTTTGAACAGAATTTAGAGCAGTTATGAAACAATGAAGTATTTTTAAGCTATTGAAAGGAACTATGAGAGTGAAGTACATGACAGCAATGACAAAAGGAACTAATATCAAACCTAATGAAATCGCTCACGAGGACATAGAGCTTAACAAGTACTTTGTGGAGTATCTTATAAGTGAAGAGTATGTAAGACCTTACTTCATGTTTGACAGCATGAATGAGGATGTTATTTCATGGTTAAAGAATATAAGCAATGTTTTCGGTAAGTACGTCATAGATGACAAAGGTCTTGTTGTATTTTATGAGACAGCAATACGAACACAGGAACTAATGGATATTATGCACTCAACAGCAAAGAAAGGATTTAGTACTATTGGCATGAATGAACATTGCAGGAATGACATATACAACCTATGCTCACGAAAGCCTTACACAAAAGCAATACAAATGATAGAACATAAGTGTCTAAGGTCAGCAAATGAAATCATTACTGTCAGTGGTTATGAAAGAACTGTTAGCAAAGATGAGTGGAAACAGCTATTCATATTAAGGAAGGACGTTGCTGAACTAGTTAAACCTGTTGCACAAACATTGTTTCAGATAAGACCAGCAATGACTAAGAACCTTTGACCTTAGTCAATGAGACCATAGAGGTTGAAGATAATGACATGAAAGAACTAGGAATGAATGAGAGAAGTTGTGAAGGATGTTTGAGTCAAAACACATGGTTCTTCAGAGCTGTTAAGAAACTTAGTAAAGAACGACAGAAATATTTTATAGAGAAGTATTGCAAAGGACATGTAAATGAATTGCTTGAAATAGAACTTAGAGACACTTTCACACTAAAGGACTTGAGAAGAAATAAGTACATGAGTGAAGAAGGTATTGACATAGTTAGTGTTATAAATGACTTAAGAAGATGTGTTGTCGTTATTGACGGAGCACGTATGACATATCTAGTGAAAGATTATGATGGAATACGAGACACAACAACACTTGTGTCAGTAGATAGCAAGGAATTCAATAAGCTCATGAAGAGTGTTTATGTAGGACGTATTGAGGAGAAGGATGTGAACGCACTGATGATTTATGAAGCGGGTCAGAACAAGAACTATCTTATGAAGTCAGGCATGAGATTCTTTGACGAAAGAGATGACATTTACAGCTATTTCAGAGGATATGAGTATGAGGTACTGAATGAAGTAGATGAAAGCGTTATTGAAGGATATTTGAAACATGTTCACGATGTCATATGTAATGAGGATGAAGAGCTTTATGAGTATGTTTTGAACTGGTTCGCCTACATCGTTCAAAATCCTTGTGGAAAGACTGGAACAGTACTTTTGTTAATAGGAAAGCAAGGAACTGGTAAGAATGTACTTAGTAATGTTCTATGCGAGCTCATTAGCAAGTACGCCAACAATAATATAACGGCAATAGAGAATGTGGTTGGTAGATTCAATGCTGCTATTGAGAACATGAAGCTCATCGTATGCAATGAACTAAGCTCATGCGATACGTCTAAGGTCATGAACCACGACGCACTAAAGTCAATAGTAACAGAGACTCAGTTGGACTTAAATCAGAAGTGTCAGCCAGTAAGAAAGATAGAGAATGTTTGTAATATCATCATGATATCTAACAACTTCAACTCAGTAAAGATTGACAAAGACGACAGAAGATTTGTTGTCATTGACGTAAGCAGCAGATACAAAGGAAATTACGAATATTTCTCAAATCTCATTGAAAGCTTTAATGAAGAGTTTTATTCAAACTTACTGACGTACTTCATGAGGAAAGATTTAAGTGAATTTGATGTAAGGAAGATACCATTCACCAGGGCTAAACAAGAACTCATCGAAATGAACAAAACACCTTACCAAATGTTTTACGAGGAGTTCTATGAAAAGTTTGTATCCGGATGGAATTGTACAGAGTGCTACAGAAGATATAAAGAATTTGCGAAGGAGAATGAATTCTTTGCATGTAGTTCAAATGTATTTGGTGGCAAGATGAGAGAATTTGTGAAAAGAAGTAGAAAGCGAGACGGTTCTGCAAGAAGTTATATTTACGAAGCAAGTATGATATTAGAAGGTCGTGGAAAGAAAGAAACAGTGAATTATGAGGAAGTGCTTGAAAAATTCATGGAGTACATGGGAAGCAATATAACATACAACAAAGACATATACAGTGAGTTTAAGTACTATTGTGAACAGCATGAGATTGAAGTAATGAGTAAAGGAGACTTTGAAACGCTTATGAAAGACAGTGAGGAGGTCGTTCATGAGAACAATGATGAAATAGTTCATGAGAACAGTGAGGAGGTCATACATGAGAACAGTGATGAAATAGTTCATGAGAACAGTGAGGAGGTCATACATGAGAACAGTGTTGAAATCGTTCATGATGTCGTTCGTGAAGAAGCCATTGCAACAAAGAATGAGATAAAGGATTTCATAGAACTTAACAAGGAGGAGTTTAAAGAAGGCTATGAAGTGAAAAGATGTGAAGAAGATTTCTTGGCGTATTTGAAGAAAAAGAGACTAAAGCCAGTGGCTCAAAATAAGTTTCAATCGATGTTTGAAAAGAAACGTTTGAGCTATGGTGGTGTAAGAAGCACATATTACTTTGTTAAGAAGTGAGGACATTTATTTTTGTCGTTAGTGTTGGAGTTTTGTATTTGTTGTTAGTGAGAGAATAAATTAAATCATGAACTTTGCCATGGTCTCTGTCCCTAGTAGTTTTCATTAAGTTCTGGAAATAATGAAAGTCATAAACTTTGCCATGGTCTCTGTCCCTAGTAGTTTTCATTATCTCACAGAGTTAATGAAAGTCATACTTTCTATCAGATGAAGCATGTAGATGAACATAATGAAAGTTAGTGGGTTTGCCACGAGTTATGAATAAAATATTGGCATATTAGATGAGATAGCTGATGAAACAGATGAAGATAAATTAAATCTTGGACTTTGCCACACTCTGTCCCTAGTTCCTCAAAATCCTTGACAACGTTGCTTAGAAATTTTGGTTCAAAACCTCATCTGATTTTAATCTGTTATGCTACCTGTTAAGTTTCGCGAGATTATAAATGTCATGGAGTTATATAAAAAGGAGGGACAGCTAGGGACACTGGAAGTACTTGTAAGGCTATCTGTTAAGATTGCATGAAATACTAAAAAGTCATGAAATCCATTATCGCTGTGCTAGCTTCACCTTAGAGTAAAATGACAAATAAAGTCACTGAAGCAATGAAACAAAAGTTTTTGGTAGAATACATTAAATCAGGAACTATTCCAGAAGGTTTTTACATTCATACTATGAAGGATGGTAGAGTTCAGTTTAGAAAGATAAAGCAACCATTAGATAAAGAAGGAATTTTGAGAAAGATTAAACTTCATGAGGACAACATTGCTGAACTTAAGAAGAAGTTAGAAGAGTTGGAGAAAGCAGACGACAGTGAGGAATAAAGCAATGAATTCAACAGGGTAGAAATGAGGGTAGAAATGAGGTTAGATCTACCCTTCTACCCTAAATATATTTTTGGGCTATGTTTTCATACGTGTGAGGGTGGTGATATCATTAATTTTTAAGTTTATTTTTATATAAATGACGAAAACTATTGAGATAACAAACTACAACGGTCATGAGTTCAAGAATTTGTTCTTCGTTCCTCGTGAAAATACATTCTATCAGATACGAGGGAGAAAGGGTAAAATTAGTTTGAGCGTTTATGAAGGAATGAAGAATGGAAAGTTTATACAAGCATACGATACAAACGGTAAACGTGTTTCATTAGCTTTGTCAAAACTTACTAACATTCATTTTGACAGTGACTTTGACCTATATGAAGAAGAAAGTGAGTCAGAAGATTATGAGCTGTTATGTGAAGCACAGCAATGGGAGGAGTTGCAATACTTTTGTAAGTGAGAACGTTTATTTTTTACATTAGTGAAGTCGTTTGTGAAAACGTTTATTTTTTCATTAGTGAGGTGAAGTGGTTGGCGGCTTTATAAATATTTAAGGTTAAGTTAGTGTTGTCGTTTGTGTTGTAAAATATACGTTAACGGTTTCGTAAAGTGTCAAAACAGCTAAGTTGTGTACGGAGGCGCGCAGTGCCACAGTACACGACTTAGGTATACTAACTATGATGTTGAATTGCATTAACTTACAAATATTATCAATTTTAGAAATAGCTATATATAATAATTCTGTATATAATATTACATATAACCCTAATTCAACTCATCTAGATATCTAGTATATATTGAGTTATTTATCGATGAAAAAATTTCGGAAAAAATGATATTTTTTTTCAAAAAAATCGGAAAAAATGATATCTCCCCCCGTATAAGTAACGACTTAAAGCTTTCAGCTTTAGATGTATGAGCGAAAAATTTTTTGAGGGTAATTAATCGATTGCAGAGTAATATCGTTGAGGGTAAAATTGTTAAAAAATTCGTAAAAAATTTGAGAAACAATCTGAATTATTATGAAAAACTTATTTGAATGGATAAATTTGAGAATATATTGAAATTCATTGAAATCTAAAATCATATTTTATCTAGTTATGAACCGCAATAAAAGTTTGTATTTAGCTGTGTTATAATATGTAGTATCTTATTTTAAGTTTTCATGTCTGTGATTTTAATTTATGAATAATATTAACATATCCCCTTTTTTGGTAAAAAATATTTTGGTGAAAAACGGTTTTTTCACATCAAAAAGTGAACAAAACTGGGTGACTTGGTGAAACTCTCCCATTTATGTTCTCAACTTTTTGACATACATATGAGAACTGAAGCTTATCACCCTTAAAGGAACAATTAAACTCAAAAAATTCAGTTTTAGCAGTAAGAGTTTCGAAATCGATTTGGAAAGAGGATTCAAAAAAAGTCGAGAAGTCTTTGTGAATCTGGTTTGATGATCAATTTTATTATCGGCCTTGAAATAAATGTAAGTATCATGATTCGCAATGTCATTCCATAAATATTTTGTAACTTGAATAAAAAAATCAGCTGCTGGCTGAAAATCTTTTAGAATGGCAAGCATTTGAATTGACTTTGCCGAATATGGGTCGTAATGAAGCTTTACAATTTCAAATATTTTATCTTTTTGATCATCATTTAAAGTATTAAAAAATGTGTTGTGCATGAAAAATAGCGTGACTTCACTTTTGACAAAAAGTGACATTATTTATGATGGTTTTGTCATTTATTTGTCAGATTTATAAATGGATAATAATGCTGTAAATCAGATATTAATTAAAAATATTTAAGATTTATGTTCGAATTGAAAAGCAAAATGATATTTTTTTTAATTGAAAAACGTTATTATCTGATATTTTGAAGTTTTTAATATTTGTTAGTATCTTAAATTATTGAATGCATACGTTCTTTATGTTCTCAATTTTAAAAAAAATTGTGAAGAATTTAGTTTTTTGGAGATGGATGTTTAATATTTGTGAGTGAGAATGCAAGCAGGAGTTTGGTACTTTAAGGCTAGGTTGAGATAGATTTCCCATTATATTATCTGTGAATATATTGTTTGAAAATTCAAGATATAAAAATATATTATCAAAAAAATTATATTTTTAAATACAATAGGGTGGAAATATAGTACAATGAGATAGCAATGATATATTTTATAATGGGAGGTAATCTGAAGATAAGTAGCAAATTTTATGCGATTTTGATTGGGAGTTGGAGGGTGTGAGTACTATAGCATGTAATAGTATCTCACACCCTCCAATTCTTCCTATGGCGCCGAAAAATTTTTGGTGAAATGCGACGACATTTCACCAAAAATTTTCGGCGCCATATAGAGAACTATAGTCTGCGAGGTACTGATTCTATCTATGTACCTCGCAGACCATAGTTCTCAGCCAAAATGGCTAAAAATTGGGTGCAATGTAAAAAATTGCACCCAATTTTAGCCATTTTGGCTAAGAATTGGAGGGTGTGAGTACTATAGCATGTAATAGTATCTCACACCCTCCAATTCTTCCTATGGCGCCGAAAAATTTTTGGTGAAATGTCGTTGCATTTCACCAAAAATTTTCGGCGCCATATAGAGAACTATAGTCTGCGAGGTACTGATTCTATCTATGTACCTCGCAGACCATAGTTCTCAGCCAAAATGTCAAAAATTTCGGAAATTCGAAATAATTTTTTTGAGAAAAAATTAACCGTTTAACATAATATTTATAATATTGCTTATTCAATTAGACGGATTAAAAATTATATGTTTTCTTTTTATTTTTTCAATTAAATTATTAGCTGACTCGAATTTGTATAAGTTTTTTAAAATAGATATCAAAAATTAAATATAAAAAAGAAAACAATTAAGAATATTAAAGTAAATTCTTTATTAAGAAACAATAAAATGAAAATATAAAACTTTGTATGATTTGAGTGGATATTGAGAGTAATTTGTGAGTGTGCTTCGGCTGCATATGTAAGATTGTTCGGATTTAATTAAAAATTGTAAATTTTTTGTCTTTATATCAAACTATTCGACAAAAATTTGTATGATTTGAGTGGATATTGAGAGTAATTTGTGAGTGTGCTTCGGCTGCATATGTAAGATTGTTCGGATTTAATTAAAAATTGTAAATTTTTTGTCTTTATATCAAACTATTCGACAAAAATTTGTATGATTTGAGTGGATATTGAGAGTAATTTATGAGTGTGCTTCGGCTGCATATGTAAGATTGTTCGGATTTAATTAAAAATTGTAAATTTTTTGTCTTTATATCAAACTATTCGACAAAAATTTGTATGATTTGAGTATGAACTCAAAGACGTTCACTCCGGGGTTTGTCTTGAAAAGAGTCTCCCAACTCCTTTCAATTTTTCCATTTTCCTCTGGAGAGTACGGATGAGTTTTGAAATATTTTATATTGAATTCTTGGCAAACCGCTTCAAAATCTTTTCCAATGAATTCTGTTCCATTATCTGTGAGAATTCCATGTGGAACTAATTTGACTAAATCAATTGCGTGACGAAATACTCTGGCAGTATTTTTCATTTCTTTTGTATCGAAAACATCCCAGCAAATAATGTATCTGCTTCTGTCATCAAGAAATGAAATTAAATATTGAAGGTTACCGTTATCGTCCTTCAGAAATTTCAAATCAGTATGCCACAATTGATTAACATATTGAGCAACGTATTCATGTGGATGTTCGTCGATTTTCTGATGCCTGTGAAATGTAAACAAATGTTGTTGATTGAAAATTTTGAAAGCCTCGTTGAATGTAAATCTTTCGACTTTTTCGAAATATGATTCTTTGATCCTTTTATATCCAATGTCATATTGTGCTTTAATTTCCAAAATTTTGTATACATCTTCCTCAAAAATTTTTTTCTTTGGTCTTCCTCTTTCTTTTATTGGATAGCCGAGTAGTACGAAAATTTTTTTCAAATGTTCTTTTCCTATTGAAAGTGTTTTTGCCGTATCTTCGAGAGTTACATTTGGATTATTAATGTATTCTTGATATTTTTCTTCAATTACGTTGAGAACCTGATCGGCGGGAACGGTTGGGAGTTGAAAAGTTTTAAGATCTTCTGGGTTTTCGAGACGAACCAAGATGTCTTCCATTTTTTAATTTGTAAATTTTTCAATTTTTCAAAAGATAATTTAA